CATTTAATAACTGTAATGCCTACAAAATAAAGTCCAAATTTCATGGTGTATTAGTCACTTAGGCTGCTATAACAAAATACTACAGATGGGAATTCTGAGCATGCCAGATATTCCAGCATGGTTGGTTTTTGGTGAGAGATGACTCCCTGGCATGTAGACAGTTGCCTTCTCACTGTGCACTCATGAGGTAGGGTGAGATAGCAAGCAGAGAAAGCTCTCTCATGTCTTTTCATATAAAGACACTGACATCATCATGAGAGTCCCACTGTCATGACCTCTTCTAAACCTACTTACTTACCAAAGGCTCTATCTCTGAATACCATCACATTAGGAGTTAATTAATTGGGATGGGTACAATTCAGTCCACAGCACATGGTATGATATTCCAGGGTTTTTATAATTAGCTTTAAGCTGCCTATTCTGTTTTATATTTTACTACTGCATGAATTCTGAGACTCCAAAAACATGTCAAATAGTTGTCAAATACATCATTCACTCTCATTGGACTATGCCTTTGATCAAGCTGTTCACTTTGCTTAGACAAGTTTTCCACCCTGACAAACTGTTAGGTCTTTCAAATATGCAAATCAGATGCCACCTGTATTATGAAGTGAGTTTGGACTTCCTCTTCTTTGTGCCCATATCACTTTATACATAGTTCTATCAAATTTAAGTTGCCTGGGCACAAACTGTAGTTCTGCTATATTCTAAATGTGTGACCTTAAGCTTCTTTTTTATTTTTTTTTTTGCTTCAGTAAGTTCATTAATAAAATGGGGATAATAGCACTGATTTCATAGAGTGTTGGTGTGGGGATTGATGAGTTACTCTGCACAAATTTCTTAGAGAAATGTCTGGCTCTTAGTAAGCATTATATAAATTATTTGCTATTGTTATTGTATTAAGTGAAAACAACCAGAAAAAAAAAACACTTTTATTCATAGACTGTAAATGTATGAAAAATGGCTTCACTCTGATATTCTGGTAACCTTGTACTATTTACTTAGGTTACGTAGGCAAGGCTCAATTGTGATCCACCCTAGGTCTTGGCAGAACATGCAGTGGTCCTCTCAGAAGTAGGAAGATAGGCAGTCTTGTGAGGAGTTGTTTCAAGGATCTTTTTTTTATCTGTCTCCCTTCCTTGTGGGAGGCTCCCTGTCTTCCAGAAGGACACCACAAGGCAGACTCTCTTTTTACTCCCTGGTTCCAGTAAGGCATTGGACTTTCCTGTTCCCCAACCCCCAGACCTTGGGTATACATGCTGGTTTTAAAACAGCTTAGCTGAAGTCTAGAGTGAACTCTTCAGCAACGAAGTTCCACACTGCTCATGTCATCTGTCATCTGGCCCCTTTAGTTTGATGTTGTCCTGTGGAGCAAAGGAATATAAGGAGCTGACACTGCACTGATCTTATTTATGCTGCCTGTGTGAGTAATAATCGATACTCATTTGATTTAATTGTTTCCTTATTGCATGCATTAATCAAGGTCTGTGCTGCTGCTTATGGACTGCTTGATCTCTTGACAGTAAGCTCTTTGAGAGGAGACACTTATCAATTTTTTTCAACACTATATATTGATTATCTAGTCTATAGTAAGTGCTTAGTAAATATTTCTTGAATTTTCAAAAGATATAGCAAACAATGATAAATAGTATTCAAGCATATATAGTCAAGGATACATATCAAACCCATTATTATCAGAGCAAAAATAAAATAAAATATAAAATAAAACAAAACAAGGTAGGGGTATTCTACTCATGAGGTTTAAATAAAAACATAGACATGTCACCTAGGAGAAAAGAGCCCTCTAGCTCCCTTATTATTTTTCCATTAATTTATATGAGCATTTTATACCCTGTAAGCATGACCTTATTTTCTCAGATGAACTGTAATGTAAGAAAGAAAGGCTAGATTATGTTCTAAGGAACCCCAGTTTGTTTTTCCTAGGAACTGCTTCATGGCTGATAGTAAGTAAACCAAGATGAGGATATTTTTATGTATTTTATATGTTGGGCTTTCTTAGAGAATTTTACTTGAAGAAAATTGTTGGCAGTTAAAAACAAGGCAAAACAAAACAAACCCGCAAACCACTGGCCTAACTCTAGTTCTGAAATTAATGTACAGTATGATGACTGTAGTTAATAATACTGTATTGAATACTAGGAATTTGCTAAGAAAGTAGCTTTCAAGTACTCTCACCACACACACACACACACACACACACACACACACACACACACAAATGGTAACTATCTGAGTTGATATGTTAATATCTTGACTGTAGTAATCAATTCACTATGCATATGTATATCAAATCATCATGTTGTACACTTTAAACATACACAATTTTTATTTAAAAATAAAATGCCTAAATATAGATTAAGGCAAGGAAAGTTTGTTAGCTACAAACTCGGGAGTAGAGCAGGAGCTCTTTGGATTGGGGGTAGATAGAAAAAATGGAAGGCTTGCTTAAGATATTTATATTACTAATGCAGAATTTTGTTTAGTGAAATTGCTTTATTTAGGACTCATATATCTTGCTTTCTTATTTGGAATTTGGGAAGAATAAAGGACAGGGTGATCGTCATAAATTTTTAAAAACCAAATCACTCCTTGTACATAAACAGATTATTTGTTCTCCTATTAAAGCTTCCTCAGCTTAAAAGAGGTCTTCTTCTTAAAATCTCTGAGTTGAATTGTTACACACACACCAGATCCAGGATCCAAATAACATATCTAGTCAACCCTAGGGTGTAATTTTCCATACATTTTAATATTTCTGATATTGGGACACATCACACAATCAACATGTACATTTAATGTGGTAGCATACCTATTTTCCTTCATTATTAAATAAATGTCACATTTACAATTTGATGATGTCTTAGATTTTAGGAAATGACATATAACAACAGGAATAATGAACTTATAAATTTGAGCAAGAAATACTTGAGGTGGGGCCAACTAGCTTTTTAGTCTGTCTTACATGTGGGGTTAAACAATGATAGTGGGTATCATCATTAATGTGTCTATGGGATAAAATTCAAGCTACAAATGAGGGCTTTTTTCTTCTTTTTTTGAGAGTCAGCTTACCAGTACACCACTATCCACAATTATTCTTTTATTTTTATTATACTCACTGCTTACTCAAATAGGTCATGCTATTACATGCTTGGTTACCATATTCCATGTGCTCTTACCTCTGCTTGAAGTGTCCTTCTTAGAATGTTGTCCACTGTAACAATCCTATCCACCCAAATAGAGTCAATTCCTTTCTGCTTTACATCACCGTGTACCTAATATATGCCTCTAAATATATACTGACCATACTGAACTGCAATGATTTATTAGGTATCCATCTTCTTTACTGGAAGTTCCTTGAGTATAATTGACTGTTTCTTATTTATCTCTGTATCCCTAGTACTTAGGACAGTGCCTGGTATGTAGCGGTATTCACTAAGTCTTCAAAGATTGAATATATAAATCAAAAGAAAAAAGAACAATATAATGTGGTAAAGTGCCATAGCACCAAGAAATGCTTCATTTGCTGCCATTAAGTGGTGTTCCTTCCTTATCCAAACTCTCTGAGTTGCTGGTAGACATACAATTGTCAACTCTGAGTTTAATTCCTGAGTAAAATGAGACATTTATCTCTCCCCAGTTAATTATAAGTTCATTAGAAGGAGATATCAAGTCTATTTCTGTATATATTTTTGAGTTTTAGATTATATATTCCTATTCTTAGGTGTGATTTAGTTTCCAAGATGCATCATTCAATATACCTTTATCATTAATACTAGTGGGAATTTGCATGAGAGAAATGGAAAGGCCCACAACAGTTTTATTTATTTAGGGCCTAGAATTTCTCCAGTTTTTAGAGCAATCCTTAATACTAGACATCAAAAACATAATTTTACAGTAATTTAAGAGAGAGGAATTTGAATATTACTGCTAAAACCCTGGAAGCTAATTATTTCAAGATAACTTGAAATCTTAACTCATTTGAGTTTGAAAAAATCTCTTGAGTTAATTAAAGTCACTATTCCCATTATGTTACTTGATTCTATTGACTGTCTTAGATCTTGCTAATTACAGGAAAACTGAATTTCATGCCAAAAAGAGATTCCATTTGTCATTTGTTTAAGGAAAAAAACTTAAGCATCTCCTCTGGGCACCACAGTACTCTATACCATACAGTATTGTAATAGAGGGTGGGGATAAGATAGATGCATAGCCTCATATCTCAAAAAATAAATTATCAGCACCAGAGTTACTAGTGTATACTGTCAAAATGGATTGTATTCTACACTTTTCATTAGATACAGACTTTTCAACAAGAGCATAACAAGGCTCAAATAAGCAAAAATAAGGTGGATTCTATTGAAATTGTTGGTGTTGCATTGTAATTTTATAGAAACAGTCGTTTGGCAAAAGATGCTCTCTGATATGCTGCAATGTCATTCAGATTAGGAAGCCAAGTAACACTTTAGATGTCTTGTTTTAGATGTCTGTTTAGAGTTTTAAAATCAGAAGTTTCAAATATTAAGAAAAAATTCCTTTTCAAATTTCCCAATGTAAACCAAGTCATCAAAAGAAATACAGACGTAAGAGAGAAGACAGATCAAGGGAAGCAAATATTTCATTCTCATTGCCTGTCAACTCATGAGACATTACTAACCATTCAGATAGCATGAATGAGATAGAAGCAGAATGAAAAAAATTCAGTCCAGTCAGATTAGGCAGTTTTGGGAGGACTAGAAATAGTGTATTATGTCATATTATTCTATTATGTTTATTTGTAAATTTTATCCACATGAGTAAGGTCAGTTTACTTTGTGCATATTAACCAAATTTAAATTGTCCCATTATTCACTTGGTACTTGAAACATATCAACAAATATTTTTAAAGAGTTTACAGTCTTGCCTACACTGTTATGTATACAAAAGGCAGTCAATTTAGCTATAATGGTCATAAGCAAAAAGGGAAAGGGAGAGAAGCTTACCACTAGATCCTCACAACACGCTGTTGAAGTGTCCTTTTTTGTCAATCCTAGGAATATATCCTCAGTTCCCACATGTTGTTTGTATATAATATCATACCTGAAAATAGTCATTGATATAGAAACTCAAATGAAAATTTCCCGTCATAGAGCAGACAACTAGAAACTTATGAGAATATGCCATTACAATAAAAATAAAATGATAAAGTAAATAAAATTCTTGCAGTTTTTTTCAGGCACATGGCAGAACATAAAGAAATAGAAATCTAGAAATTCAGTCAAAAAATGCCTAACTCTGTAAAGCAGGATTTATATCATATATACTTCTTTTCTAAAATGAAGCTTAACTGTTTTAGAGCTATACAAATAAAATGGATTGAGAAAACTTCTAATAAGAGTCTCATAAGATTTGATGTAGAAAAAAAAAAAGGAAGGTCCTTTCCAGGAAAACAATGGCTCAGAAAAATAGAGAGCCCATAACCCAGGGTTTGATGGATAAACAGAAACTCTTCACCAATAAATTTAAATGACAACATAGAGTTCGAAAATCCAGGTTTAGTACCATTTCTGTCATTAACCATGTGACTTTGGTCAAGTCACAAACTCATGGAGTCTTGGCTTCTACATTTGTACAATATATGGAAGAGGGTGGGTTTGAATTAAACGATCTCTATTTTTTCCACCTCTAAAATTCTATTGTAGAAACATTGGTAATGTAATCAGCATTACAGGTCACAGATGCAATAATTGCAGGGTGATTACAGCTACACTTATAATGCTTAGAATCTAGTCCTATAGGATTCTTAGTTCAATGAAAGATTTTCCTGGCATTTCACCACACACGACAATTCACAAATCTTTTTTTGGCCCCAAACTTGGGCCCTTAGATATAGGATGGCTTATAGAAGCACCCAGACATAATGTACGCTCTATCATTTAAGGCAAACATTTACAAATGATCTTTTCTATTTAATTCTACCTTAATGAAGAAATGGTAAATCTCTGAACAGGAAGACTAAAGGACTACATTGAACTCTGACCACTGGCAAATAGGAATGACCATGAATGAAAAAGGGATTTCTCTGAGTTGAAACAGGAACAATATGTTGCTATTTGATATGAGACATTTTTTCTTAATAGACTATAACTTCTACCAGGTATTTACAAAGATGAAGCCAGGTTAAAACAAAATAGAAAGGTATTAATCCATATAGCCATGATTCCCAAAAAGATTTTCTCAAACTGCTGCTCTTCTCATCTCCAGAAGTTTTCCAATCGCCTACTACATGCTTTTGCCTGGATCCAAAGGCACCTAACCATCCACACATCCAAAACCAAACTCATTGCTTCCCTTCCACCTACATTCCCAGTTACAGTTAATAGCCCCACTATTCACTCTGTCACCTAAGCATCATTTTTTGTTTTATTTATTTATTTAAAAAATGTTTTTATTGTTCAAATACATTTGTATCCATTTTCCCACCACCCATTTCCCCTGTCCCACCAACCCCACCTCCCTCCCTCAATCCTTCCCCACTTTAACTTTATCCATGGGTCCTTTATACATGTTTCTTGACTTGACCCTTCCGCTTTCTTTCCCCGTTACCCCCCTTCCTCCTTCCCTCTCATTATTGTTTCTTTTCTCTTTCAATGTCACTGCCCAAGCATCATTTTTGACACTTTATTTTCATTCATTGTATCTAATAAAACATAAAATCTGACTTTAAAACTCTGTAAAATAAAGACCCTAATGCTTCTCTCTGGGGCAGAGACTTATATAGGGCCCTTATAAGTATTTTATTTGGTCACTAATCATTCTTCTTTTGTGAACTGCCTGTCCACATCCTTTAACCCTTTTTCTTCTTTACTCATTGGGGCATTAGAAATACTATCGCATAAGATAGAAAATAAAGATATTTTTTAATCTTAAAAAAGCCATTTTCTTCATATTCTGTCTTACTTAGTCCTGTAAAGCTCTCATGGACGTTCTTTCTACAGAACATCAGACAGGAAAAGTGTTATTATGCTAAGTGAAATAAGCCAGTCAGAGAAAGACAAATACCATATGATTTCACTCATATGTGGAATCTAGTGAACAAAATGAACTAACAAACAAATAGAGACAGACTCGCAGGTAAAGAGTAGTCTGTCGGGGGGATTAGGGGGTTGGTGGGGGTGGTGGAGGATTGAACAAAAAATTAAAAAAGGGGAAAACTCATGGGCATGGACAACAGTGTGGTGATTGCTGGAGGGAATGTGTGGGAGGAGGTGGAGGAAGGTATAGCAGGGATAAATGGTGATGGAAGGAGACTTGACTTGGGGTGGTGAACACACAATATAATGTACAGATGATGTTTTGTGGAAATGTGCACCTGAAACCTGTATAATTTTGTTAACCAGTATCACCCTAATTAATTCAATAAAAAGGAAAAAACATAAAAATTGAAAATTTACCAAAATTTGGAGCTTGCCACATATGGATGTTTGACATTTATTAGACAATATGACAAATGAGTGACTTAATTCTTATGTTTCATATGGATGTGTGAATGCTGTATAACATAACAAGATTTACTCTTCATTCTTAAGATGCAATCTGAAGTGTTTTAAAATCCCATTTGATTTTTTATGAGGTTTACAATTTTTGACATTGTTTATTTAAAAGCTGGATACTTTTTTCCAGTTAATTATCTGCTGTCTCCTACTACTTCTATTTTCAGAACCAACTTAGAAGATAGAAGCATAGTTGTTTTTTTTTTTTTTTTTGAGGCATTGGACACGGTTTTATAGTCATAGTTAATGTGGAACATTGAGTAATTAAAAGCAGATCTTTAACATACAAACATGGTATAATAATTTAGTTTATATGAATGTTTAATAGGCTATTTTCTTACTGTTAGTCCCATATTATATAAGTAACTGACATTAAATATAAATATACAATGGAAATGACTCTACTTTTCATTTTTGTTAGATAGTAAGGTCTTATGTTTTATTGTTTGTTTCTGCTTTAGGGGGAAATAATCATCAATTACACATGTCTTCTGTGTTTCACTGTAGTTTTTATCTTTTATGTGGTACAAGTCACTTTATGAATCTCGTCAAAAATAGAATGGTATCAGAAGACACATCTAGTTTAAACCCCTAAATACATTCTTGGCTTCATTTGACTTACTCTGGTATTTCTCTAACATCCCACATGTCAGCATGCTCTGCTCCTTCTGGAACTTCTTCTGGATTCCAGATGGCCTCACTAGTTTCATCACTGGTTTGAGGAATAACTATAAAGAAAGGGAAGAGAAAGCTGAAGCTGTTACCCATTTCCCCATAAAATTGTTCTTGTATGCTCCATTGGGGATCACTAAGTAAAACATTTTCTATTTATATTTTCTATTTTTTACCAAAAAGAAGCTAAATTAGTAACAACTTATTAAATATTTTTAAAATATTTGTTTATTATATTTTTTCTGTTACCATTTAGTTCATTTATACTTCCCTCCCCCCAGCAATCTGTTGTCCATGTTCATGAGTCCTCTTTCCTTTTGCTAAATTCCTCCACCCCTAACCTCCCCCCCCCACTAGCTGTCATCTTTTTTCCATCTATGAGTCTGTCTCTGTTTTGCTTGTTAGTTTAGTTTGTTCCTTAGATTCTGTATATGAGTGAAATAAGAAACAACTGATTAAATATTTTAATGAATACACAACCAATACATTGTAGAGTTGTAATAATAATTGCAGGAAATTTTGAAAAGACATTTAAGGAGATAGAAGAAAATAAAATAATCTACAGTCCAACTGCCGGGAGATAATGAATGATAGCATTCTGATGTATATCTTCCAGTCTCTCTCTCCCTCCCTCCTTCTCTCTCTCTCTCTCTCTCATATATATATATATATATATATATACACACACACACACACACACACACAAATATATGTACATATATGTGTATATGCACATATATATATATGAGTGGGTTCGATCTCTGGTCAGGGCACATACATGAATCAACCAATTAATGCATAAATAAAAGCATAAATATATATGTATATGTATATATATGAGTACATATATAAACATCTAAAACATATTTAAGTATAAAATAACATTGTGTATATAATATAAAATATATACCCAAAGAAACAATTAGAACATATATAAATACTTTTATATAAAAGAATAAATCAAACAAACACTTTGGTTTAGGTAGAAATGTCTTATCTTGCATTGTCTTTTATTGTATAAAAGCCCTTTGATACATGTTTCATTCAGGTATGCCATAATTCTTAAAATATACCATCAGTTAAAAAAAACTTAAAATGTTCATTTTTTTTAATCCAGTGTTTTCCTCACATATGCATCAGCTTTAAAGAAAGTATCATTTGTCCTTTATGTAGAATTGAGCATGTACCTGAGTTCTCTACATGTCAACTCTAAATGTTTAAAAGTAAATAGGCACATAAAACCCAGCTTACATTTTTTCCAACTATTAGGGCTGCAAACGGACAGTCATATAGGTTCAGAACATTAGTTGGAGTCATTTTAAGCACCCCCCCCAAATTCATCTGATTTTTAATTATGCTTATCTTTAAAATTTATCTGCTTCTGTCTAGCAGGGGCTTTGTAAAGCCTAATTACAGATTTTATATATAATGCTTTATATATTACTCATTGTTCTGAGAACTGAGAGATCCTTAGATCTACATTACCAGAAATACAGACAGCACAGAAATACATCCAAGTTTGAACTAGTCTTCCATGGAGTGAATATCTCTTGAATGAGGTAAATATACTCTTGAGTAGTAGTAACTGAAAATTTAAAATCATCCCCTCAGACCTCATTTTATCCATTATTTTAAATATTTTTTCAGATAAAATCTTTTACAATTAGCTAAATTGGTGAGAGGACTTTACTTCCTTTCCACGCCCACTTTCTGGTAACTATGATCATGACCAACAGTATTAGAGCATTCTGTAATTTTTTCATTATTTTTTATTTATTTATTTTAGAGAGAGAGGAAGGGAGAGAGAAAAGAATATCAATTTGTTGTTCCACTTATTTATGAATTTATTGGTTGATTCTTGTATGTGCCTTGATCAGAGATCGAACTCACAGCCTTGGTGTATCAGGTCGACACTTCAAACACCTGAGCTACCCAGCTAGGGCAACCCTTCTGTAGTTTTTAAGATGTATAGAATGTTCATCTCTGTGGAAATGTATAAGCCAAAATACTGGGAATACATCCAAAATATTTATTCCAGTTATTGGACTGGTGACCTTATAAGTCACCCCATGTGCTTTAATTAATAAGCATTTCAATATAAATTAAAATTGTGTCATTTTCATGGGAGCAAAGATTTCTTCTATTTTGATTTCTGTTGTAGTCTCAGAGATTATCATACTGCCTGGTGCATAATAGGCTCTCAATAAATATTTATTGAATGAAATAATGAATGAATTCTGTGAAACTGCCATAATATATGAGGGTAGGAGGTGAAGAAGCTAAACATCTTGGTAACTAGATCTAAAGTAGTTATTTAACTACATGTGACTTGTGGCTTTCCATCTCAGGAAATATGCCAAAACATGAATAATTCAAGGCAAATTAATTTCCGTTACTAGAAAAGTAACCTACTGGAAACAGTATAGTAAAAGCAGCATCTTTATATAAAAATGACTATTCATCATTTCTACAACTGAGTTCGTCTTTAATTAGTTCAAGTGTATTATTCTTCCTATAATTTTGCTCCCAAAGAAAAGATTATACTAATTATTTTGGCCCATACACCTTATTAAGTAACTTACCTTTAAGCTCTTCTTGTTTTGGTGGTCCAATATGCCCAGGACCCATGGCTCCAATCACAGATGAACAATTAAACTGGGAGAGAAGGAAAAAAAGCCTGAGTTTTAGTACTACTTGTTTAATGTACATGACCAGTAATACTTTAAACTTGATATGTTTTCCAGCTAAGATTTCATAGAGGTTCCCAGTTTAATTACCCATAATTGTTATACAACAGAGAGCCAGATGTTAGGTATTATTTTGAATGTATTTTTCTTGTTTCTCAGAAAGTATTTTGTTTAATAGACTCTACAGCAGAACTGATGTTTGGTTAGACTAAATCCCCCATTCCAGCTCAGTGAATTATGGATTCCTGGGGAAAGGGAATGAACCACATTCATCTCTTTGAAGGTTAAAATCAAGTATTAATATAAGAGCCTCAACGTCTATGGGTTTTGGCAATGTCTGGTCACAGTTAGATGGGAGATAGAAGTATGGGAAAGTTTTATAGAAATAAAAATAAACCATTAAATAGAGTCTAAGTATTTAGACATCAAATGACTCATTCAAAAGTCCTGATTTCAGCTTTTACTTCTTTGCTGTGGGTATGAAACACTGTTTCATCCCAACACTTCATGTTAGTGAACTAGTAAAGTTAAACAGCAAACCCAAATTCATACTGTCAACTATATGCTGAACCACTATAGTCTTCATACAAATTCAAGTGTATTTTGCCATATTGTGCACAAGCATACATATCCCCACAGGACTGCCCCAATGCACCAGGAAAAAAAAAAGCCAGCTTTCCTTTTTCAACTATGCCTAACACATATTATAACATCATTATAGTGGCAACCACTTCATTGGTCCCTCTCAGGGCTTTTTTGATATTTCAAGAAAATCTAATTAAAAAAATCGTTCTTGTTGATGTCAGATTCGATGCTCTAATTCACTTTATTTGCTTGCAGTCAAAAAAATTCTTATCTCCTTGGATCCTGGCAAAGTTGCACTTCTAGCTCATTTTTCTTGGCCCCCTGTACCAATCTCCCAAGGCTTAATACATGGGTGAAAGTTGTAATGTCCTGTTTGGGCAAGTGAAATAGTGTCTGTCCTTGAAAGCTGGTGGAAAAACTCACCTGTGTCTTTTTACGCTAAACTACTCCAATAGATCTAAGTCAGAAATTAACTTATAACATGTTAACAGTTTCTGGGACAGTAAAAATTCCTTTTTAAAAGGTGCTTCAAAAGTGCTATGTATGTGGTTAATGTGTTACAGGCATTTTAATATGAAAACCCCAAGTAAATAATTTGTACATTCTTTTATTTTTAAGCACTAAGGTCATATAAAATTGCAGTGCTTCTCTTAACCTATTAATCACTGGAATACTAATAGTTAATCATGGTAAAGCATTTCTTGGACATGAGAGCCTCTTAGTTTGTTTAGTGCATCCTCCAACAAAAAATTTAAATCTGTAGAAATAATACTTGAACATTCCTGGTAAAATTTGTATGGATAGTGATGATTGAATCAGCATATCAGAACATGGGAGTTTCAGTTTATTAACTTAATGAAATAAATAATTAAAAATAAAATTTTCAAGTGAAAAGATGGATCAGGGTGATAAAAATTATAAAAAAAACCATCTGACAACTATTTTCTACATAACTATCATGTCAGCCTTTACTATGAATCCACACCCAATTATCTGAGCTATTTATCATTGCAATTCATGCCACTTCACAATATGTAAGAGAGTTAGAACATCCTTGTTACAATGTCTGTGAAGAGCAGTGAATGGCATTTCCGACAGGTTTTAAGATCCCCTTGTGAATAATAAAAACAAACAAACAAACCAAACAAAACAAAACAATGAAACAAAACAACAGATGTAGTGTCTTCCCAATCACCAGATTCTTCACAATTCATGGTGGGGATAGTATAAATGAACGAAAGTATATCAAACAGTTCTAATGCTGTTTTCAGAGAGTGTATTTTCAAAACACATCATTCTTGTAATTGTTCCACAGTTCCCAAGATTAATAAGTGAAAAAAATGAAATACTGTTTCCTCCTGGAAAATTTAATAGTTTATTAAAAACATTAGAGATTGGAAAGATGGCGGAGGAGTGAAAGGGAGTCACGCTGACCTCCTCCCAAAACCAAACTGGAATTGCAACTAAGTAATGGAGTAATCACCTGGAAAGCAGTGGAGCGATAGTGGGAGAGGAGCCTTGGTGCCGCGGACAGTGGATTCGACTCTCACACATCCCAACGGGTGAGAATTGCGGTGGAGGCTCGAGAGGGTTGGCTGGGTGCGCACGGGCAATGGCACCAGAGGGACATTGAAACGGCCAGTTAGCGTCCCCCCGAGAAGAACGGGGTCTGAATCATAAACAGGAACCCCTAAACTACAGCAGCTAAAGCCGAGAAAATACAGACAAAACGCAACCCCAGAAAGCTTAGGGGTGCTCTCTGCCAGAGACAGGTGGCTGGGGATGCAAAAAGACATTTAAAGGGCCAACGCAAAAGTTGCAGCGGCAGCCACCCTCCTTGATCGCTGGGTGGAGGCGGAAGCAGGGTGGGCTAGTGCCTGGGAAAAGACTGGTGAGGAAAACTTTGTGAAGAGAACTGACACGGCGGCTGGTGGAGCCCGGGTGATAACGCACTTCCCACTCTCCAGCTACCATCTCGCTCAGGCATAAGGGAATCAATTAACCTGGCTTTTATGCGCTCTGCACACAGCCTGTACGCCTGTGAGCTACGGGGCTGAGTGCAGACTGGCTGGGAGAGACTTGAGGAGAGACTGGAGACGGAGGCGTTCGGGAAAGAATGGGAGGAGGAACCGGGGAGTCCCGACTCCCTCCACATTCGGTAGTCTCCATTGTGGGCTGGAAAGGCGCGACCCCACAGAGGCAGAAGCGGGGCGCGCATGAACCAGACTGCCTGCGATTGAAACGCAGTCCGCACAGGGGTTGGATCCCTGGCCGAAGGGGTCACAGAACTGCCCAGAGGCCCCTGAGGGGAGACTAGAAACGGAGGCATTGGGGAAAGAACGGGAGGAGGAACCCGGGGAGTCCTGACTCCTTCTTGCCGTAGTCTCCATTGCGCGGGAAGATGCCACACCCCCAAAGAGCAAAAAGCTGAAAAGCAAACATAGACACCCCCAAAACATCCAGAGCAGGAGCGGACACTTGCGCCGAGTGACCGGCGAGGGTTGGCGAGCCTGTGTGTGTGACCCACGCAGGCTGGCGAACGCTTGCACCTGCTGGCAAGGCCTCACACAGACTGGCACCCATATGGCCTGCGAGGGAGTGCACAGAGGGGCAAGGGCAGGCGTAAATTGACCTATCCGCCGCGATTGCAGAGCGGCCCAGAAAATAAGTAGAGCTGCCCAGAGTCCCTGGAGGAGAGACCAAAACAGGATTAACTGGAGAGTCCTAGAGCTGATTTCCTCCCATTTCCGTAGTCCCCATTTGGCGAGGGCAAGCAACGCACCCAAAGAGCCAAACACGGGGAAAACACACAATAGAAGACCCTAAACTGACCAGTGCCGCGAAGCTCGCGTGCCAGGGAGGCCAGTAGAGTACGGGAGGTCGCAAATAAGCCCCCTGATCTGGGGCAAGCACATGCGAGCCCAGGCAGGTGGGGGACCCTGCCGCGCTGGGAACGCACTCAAGGAGCCTGTGTGAGAGCGCAGAGAGATCCCAAAAAATAGCCCAGCCCTGACCGAAGGGGTCACAGAGCTGCTCCAAGCAGGAGTCAGACACAGGCATTAGACTCCTGAAAGGCTCAAACAAACAACCAAAGGCCGTATAGGATCAACAACTGACATCATCAGAGGCAAGCCCAGAAAGAAAAGTAAATGACAAAAATACTTAACAGACTCTCACAAAAATGGGAAGAAAAAGAAGTTCCCCTCAAATGAGTGGAAAAGGGGACTCCCCACAGAGAGAGCTCAATGAAATAGAGGCAAGGGAACTATCAGATATGGAATTCAAAACAATGGTTCTAAGGAAGCTCAATGAGCTCAGCCAGCTCAAAGAGAACTATGAGAAACTGCAGAGAAACTATCAGGATCTTACAGCAAACTATATCAGCCTGGAAAAGGACATAGAAAATAACAAGAAGACACAAGAGGATAGGAAGAATACCATTTCTGAATTGAAGAACACAGTAGAAGGAATCCAAAGCAGGCTGGATGAAGCCGAGAATCGAATCAGTGAGATGGAGGACAAGGTAGAAAAAAGCTCCCAGAAAAAACAAGAAATGGAAAAATGGCTCAAAAAGAATGAAGAAGCATTTAGGGAAATGCAGGACAACCTGAAACGCAGTAATATCCGTATAATAGGGATACCAGAAGGAGAAGGAGAGGAGCAAGGAATAGAGAACCTCCTCGAAAAAGTAATGATGGAAAATTTCCTGAATTTGAGGAGAGAAAGGCTCTCATGGATCCAGGAGGCACAGAGGACCCCACTCAAGAGGGACCCAAGGAGGTCCATTCCAAGACACATCATCATTAAAATGGCAAATGTCAAAGACAAAGAGAGAATCCTCAAGGCAGCAAGGCAGAAGGAGAAAGTAACATACAAGGGGGCCCCGATACGCCTAGGAGCTGACTTCTCAACAGAAACACTACAAGCCAGAAGGGAATGGCAACAACTATTCCAAGCCATGAAAAGCAAGGGCCTACAGCCAAGGCTGCTCTACCCAGCTAGGCTCCCCATTAAAATAGAAGGAGAAATACGGAGTTTCCCAGACAAAAGAAAGCTAAAAATATACATCTCTACCAAACCAGCACTCCAAGATATGCTAAGGGGACTGGTTTAAGCAGATGAAGGAAAAGAATGAGACAGAGAGAAACACAAGTACAAAGAGAAAAGATGAGTAAGTTTCTATCAGTAATATCTCTCAATTTGAATGGACTAAATACCCCAATCAAAAGACACAGGGTAGCTGAATGGATAAGAAAACATGACCCACACATATGCTCCCTACAAGAGATCCAACTCAGAGCAAAACACCTACACAGATTGAAAGTAAAGGAATGGAAAATAATATTCCAAGCAAATGGACATGAGAAAAAGGCTGGCGTTGCC